GTCACAAATTTTTTACGGATTAAATCCGTCACAAATTTGTGACGAAAACAAGTCCCTCACTAAGTTCGTCACAATTTGTGATGAAATCTTATTAATCTATGAACCTTTAATATTAGAAATTAGTGACGGAATTTGTGATGTCTTAATTCCGTCACTAATTGTGATGGACTGAAATTATCCGTCGCTAAATATTTTGTGATGCCAATTTTTGTTACGAAATCAATTTCGTCACTAATTTGTTTTGTGACAGATTTTATAAAATTTAGTGACGGATTCATTTCCTCTCTAATTTTAATTTTTCTAGTAGTGACCCTTGCACACAACAGTTCCCTCTATACTCGAGAGCATGAGCGCGTAAACATAAGGAGTGATTGACATACGACTGGCCCAAGTATGGCCTTAGAGCTTGCAAGCCTTGTCAGAAATCACACTCAAGGTGGTAACCAGTTATTCTAACCCAAAATACTACATTAAACCTTAGAGTTTTCCAGTTGACGGTGACAGAGATACTGGGTCCCTAAAATGGGGGCACCTTGGGGGCCTTAAAGACTAGTGAGGCTTAGAACCTTCCTATACAAAACACTTTCTTTGACAGGGACCACAACCCATAAGTTTGTATGTACTGCTCACGGGTGTATGTTGTTTGAGTATATGGTTGTTGCATTATTCATGTTATTCATTTGTTTTTATAATTCCCCTAAGATAAAAACAATAAATATGCAAAAATGTACGTCACACATGTGCATAGGGATATCAAGGAATTTCTAACAAAAACAAGGATCAATGAAACCTTTGTCACATGTAAAATATTACGAAAAAGAACATCGATGACTCATCTTCATAAGGATGAGTCACTATCTTTGTTAGAAATCTCCTTCGAACATGTAGCCTAAATGTCTACCGTTGTCCCTCGAAGGTGGCTTTTCAACACTTTGTACTCACAAGGGCTCAAAGAGTAAACGTTATGGAAGCCTTAGAGGAAAGAAATCGCGTGCTGAATGAAGAGCTCGGGTAGCTCAAGGAGAAAATGGCACGAATGTGCAAAACTATGAACAAACTGTAGCACGATAATAACAATGCTAGCAACGTCAGGGACACTTCCAAGGATCACTTGAACACCTTGGAAGAAAGACTAAGAGTTGTGGAGGGCCACAGTTTCGATGTTCAAGAGGCTGCCGAAATGTGCTTGGTGCAGGACATACAATTCCCCACCAAGTTTAAAATACCTGATTTCCAGAAGTACACCGGGACCAGTTGTCCGAAGGGACATTTGACAATGTATTGTAGGAAGATGGCCACTCACATAGGATTTATTTTTATTCCTATTTTGCACTTGTCTTTAATTTCCTATTTTACCCTAGTACTTTGGGTACCTTAGACAGGATTTATTTTACTTGTATTTCCCATTTTACCTTTGTATTTTGGGGTGTCTTAGACATGGGATTTATTTTTACTTGTATTTCCCATTTTACCTTGTATTTTGGGGTGCCTTAGATTATAGGATTTTACTTTATAGCTAGGGAATTATAATAAGGTAGGAGGAAGGGCCTAAACGCATTTTTGGTAGTTTTTGGAGTTATTTTTGGACTTGGAGAAGCTTAGGCCCAAGTGGATGGCATCTAGGTTGCATAGTCTTATTATGCACCTAGTTGTAGCTTAACCAAGCCAAAGATTCCATTGTTGGCCACCAAGTAGGTGTGACATGTAGGGTTCATTTGGCATGGATTTGTGTTTCATTTCCCTCACATTTAGCATGGAAATGTGCACATTTCTAAACCCTAGCCATCACCCTAGTGTGCCTTGCCATGACCTCACACCCTAATCTATATATACCCTAGGTATTGCTCCATGAATTCACTTTGGAAATCAATATAGAGTGAGCCTTTTGAGCCTTTATATTTCCTTAGTCTCTCTTGGTCCATTTTCAACCAAGAATCCTACCTATCTCCACCTTGAGTGAAACCCCTAGGAGTGGCCTTCATCCACCTTGGAGTGAGCCAAACCCTAGAGTGCCACCCAAGCATTCCATCAAACACCTTCCTTCCTTTGTCATTTTTTGTCACCACCATCATCCAAGACTAGGCCTTTGAAGGACTATGATCCGTGGAGTCAAGGAGGCCTCCCATTGATACTTCTTCATCCATCAATGCTAGTAGAAGTTTCCTAGTATTAGATCATGCCACCTAGGCATGGCAACGAGGCGGGTCGGATACTGGTTTCATGATACTCGTCCTCATCTCCGTCGTTCAAACCCATCCCCATCCCTTCGTCGTCCTCGTTCTCGATTTAATACTTTGGGTTTTACCCGTATCTGGTCAAACGAGGTATTTCCCATCAAAGTTGGGACGGGTTCAAATATTACCCACAGGTATGACTTTATTTGTCATCCCTAATGCCACCTGTAGGGATCTCCTACATTCTTGTGTTACCTATGCTTGTATTTATTCTAACTTGAATAAAAGTATGGGAAAGACCAATTTCAATAGGTTTAATTTAGTGTATGGTAGCTAGGAGAATTCATCAATCTTGAATTAGGACTACATACTTAGTTGGGAATCCATATTATATCGTAACACAACATGGGATAAAAGAAAAAGATGGGAAAAAAGAACTTAAACAAATGCAATCTTGAATTAGACAAGGTGATGGATGGTTTTGACGCTTGTTCATGGCCTAATAAACATTCTAAAAAATTCGCCTCAAATATTACATTATCTAAGCAGCGTGATAGTTGTTGAACCTTGTGTCTGTGAATGAGAGGAGACATGAACCAATAAGCCATGTTAAAACTGCACTCCATAAAAATATGCTCTTATGGATTTTCAATTTGGTCCTTGCAAAGTGGACACGATTCATGCAAACAAATTTTTTTGGATAGATTTGGTGTTACATGGGAAAACATTCTTATTCATAAGATAGACAAAATGCTTTATTTATGTTTTTTTAAAAAAAGGAATTCTTAATTGCCACAATCTTTTCAATAGAAAGTGGTACGAATTAACGGAGATGCCTCCTCTACACACAAGAGAACAAAATATTATAGTGTAAACTTATTTGAGAACTAATTAAGGAAGATGCCTCCTCTACATACTAGACAACAAAATATTATAGTATAGACTTAAACTTAATTGAGAATTTTCCTCTTGGTGAGCATATCTAAATTAGCCTATCTTCTTTCCAAACATACATAGGAATGGATTCAATTGAGATTATGGTTTGCTACATTGACTAGGGAAAAAATATTCTTGATTCTCCTTTATCGATCTATCCACCTTTGAATTATGACAATTTAAGAAGAATTATGACAAAACTATAATTGAATAACAAGATTTTTTTCTTTCTCCTAAAAGTGCTAACAATTTCTCTTTAACACATCTCGTTTCTAACATTTTATCTACTACTATAAATCATCTATACATGTTATAGGTAAGAAGTATTCATTATTTATAACTAATTTCTATAGAAATTCTTGGTTGACTCACCTTAATAAGATCTCTTATAAATAAAAAGTTTGAATAAACAATCATTTTGGCTCTTAATTCTAGAAGACATCATACTATAATCCCTGAATATATATCAATATTATCACTATAGATGCATCCTTTTTTTAAGTTTTGTACTAATATAATTTTTTAATTTCAAAGACCAATATGACAAAAATTTTCAAATTTAGAGATTAACTTTGGTGTTTCCTCTTAAAAAAAAAAAACCTATGATGATATAGTGAGAATTACTTTTTATTATCAAATATAATCAGTAAATCCCTACAGCCAATCATAATAATTATTCTTATTTGATAAAAAAAATCTGTTTGTTTCTCTGCAAAATAACCATATCTTGTAACCCAATGACACGTTAAATGATTAAGTATATGATTTATAAATTAATAACTAAACATGATTAATAAATAAATAATCAAAATCATAAGAAACATTATATGTGGAAGTGTTTATTACACATTAATAGCATTATTCTTAAGATTAGCTAAAGAGACGGAGCGTATCATCTGGTTGGGATTCCACCGACAACAAAAGTGCACGTCTTATTACCTTCTTTTTTCAGAAAAAAAGATTATTAATTTGTGATGTTGGTACAATACTCTTTGTAAAACCAAAGCCACCTTTTGCTGTGAAAAGTAATGATGGTACAATACCCTTTATAAAATGAAAGGAATCTTTGCAATTAGATATATTTCTCTAGCATATCCATTCAAATTCTAGGTAAATTACCGAAATATCTCCTTCCACTCTAACATAATGCATCCCTAATATTTTAGTATCTATGCCCACTGTAAGTAGTTTTATATTATTAAAATTCATAATGAAAATAGTTATAATTATATAAATTATATTTTAAATATATAATACATAATGCAAATTGAAATGTAAGGTTATTTTAAACTAAAACATATATGGAGCTAAAAGAAATTAAATATATGGACAAAGATAAAATAGAAATAGAGTTAATCATCCATACATTGACAGTGCAAAAGTTTTTACACTAACAATCAATCATATTTTTTAAATTATTTTATTTTATTTTTATTTCATTAAATAAACAACTGACATGATACTATTAAAAGATACAATTGATTGTTAGTGCAAAAAAAATTTACACCGACAGTGTATAAGTGATTAACTCAGAAATAATTGGTAATAGCTGAAATAAATATTTTTAACTACTTACAATGTACGACACTCGGAGAAAATGAAGTCTTCCAAATGTTTAATTCAGATTGTGGGAACTCACTCTTCAATTATATGTTCTGTTCTAATTTAAAGTATAGGAGTATGTATTTTAAATGCACCTCGGCAATGATTCCCTTCCTCAATGGGAAAAAACAGTGGAGAAAAATTAACAATAAATTGAACCCATGATTACTAAGAACCGCTACGCTTAATCCATGATTACGAAGAACCATGGGTTAGTCACGTAGTAAAATTGAATGTTAAATTTAATCCATATTTTCATTATCGTAATGTTTCCTGCTGATAAAAAAGTGATTAGTAATTGATGATCAACATCATCTCCGCATTGAAAATTAACAATGGCCCTATTTTCCCATAACTTGAAAAATGGCAAGACCCCACAAGTATGTCATCCCCAAGATGCCAAAGTAACTCGAGCCATGATTGAAAAGGCTATATTGTGAACGGTAAAACTACACTATATCCCATAATTTTTTTTTTCTTCTAAGGAACTTCAAAGAGAAGTTATAAAGAACCTAATAATAATTAAAAGCAAGCCGTTGGATGCAAAAATGCATCACATAACTATTCCTGAGATACAAGATTCAACCTCACAGTAATCCACAAGGAGCATTTCCTGATACTCATATCTACAAACCTCTACATCTAGGTACAGACCTCAGAATGGAGCTGATGCTATTCGGCGAAGTTGATATTTAGGTTCCGGAGGCGGTGCACATGGCAACATCTTCTCTAGCTCCTGCAAGTTGAGGAGAAAAATTTATAAACTAGTCAGTGTTAATGTTGTAGAAATACGGAAGTAAGAATGTTCCATGTATAATGAATGAGCAGTGAAGATATGTTTATACCATGATTTTATCAAGTTTAAGTGATTATGTTAACAATCAGAATTCATGCAATGAGATTCTGTATAGTATGGCTGAATGAAGGATTTATATTCCAATATCTTTCTAACAATCGACTCAAATTGTAGAGGGTGCAGGGAATGTAAAGCTTGTAAAAATCAGAGACCAGCTCACTCTAACCCAAAAAGCCAAGTTACATGAAACAGCAGAAAATCCAAGGCATTGTTCAAAATATGGAACTCCAGTGCATGATAGTAGTACTTATGTAATGTGACAAGTAACCATGAACTATGTAGGTGAAACATCATAAGACATTGGGATCAGACTTCAGAGGAAAATTTTGTAAAAGATAAACTGTAGTATCTCCATAGGGAAAGGAAAAGTCCAAGAGTTGTGGCAGACTTCTTGTCAGAAAATTAAACCAGACTCAAATAGTTGGCTGAACAAATCGTATATAGTGACAAGAAGAGAAATTAATCCTAATAAATGACATCATGTCAGCAAAGTTGTTTTTGTAATGATTCAACAAATTTCATTCATGTTATAGATTTGTGGTTGATCCCTCAACGATAAGAAGCCCTCTCCAATATTCTTCATCCATTTTTCTTTCTAAAATAAGCCAACTTTTATTGCTCCATGAACTAATGTAAAGAATATAACCACTAAAATTCAAATGCCTCATTAAATAAAAACAGTTAACACTGACATTAAAATCTTCTCAAACACTGAAGAATTCAAAAGCATCATAATCATCACAAAGACATCCCATTGCACAGCTCGTATCGATGCACCATCCATAAAGGACTTACCCAGAAAACAAACAAGAGGAGAAAAATGATATAGCTTATCAGTGTATTAAGGATACATTGATCATACAATCCTATTTTATTCTAATATAGCAGAAACAATTATAGGCATCCAAAATGACACAAACACACAAGGATTGATCAATGATTTGCAATAGAAAATTAAAAGAAAATTATGTACAAAAGAAGTGCAATCAACTAAAGCCACTATACATAACAAAGTAGTTTAGTTTAGTGCAAAAATATATGCAGGGTTGCTAATTATGTCACGCTCATGTATATAATATTCTAGACTTAGATGGCATATATATAGAAAGCTCATTTGATTACTTCATTTTCCAATTATAAACTAAACCTAATGATTAATCAAACACTAAATCCAGAAATATATATAAAAAAATAAAATTATTATAATTTTATCCAGCTGAGAGTCAGTTCACATTCACAATGTATGGATAAATGAAAGCCGTAAAGACATGGAGCATCACAGTCCACCGAAATAAGTTGTTTCCATAAAAATCTTAAAACCGAAGGATAATGCAAAAGCGGGAGGGAAAGAAGTGTCCTTTTAAGATTATATCATCCTGGGCAAAACAAAATATATAACAATCATGTGAATATATCATCCTGTCACTCAAAACATTATTGTTCTAAGATTTTAAAGATGTACTTGACTATTTTTCTTAATCTTTTGGAAGGGGCTGAGAGTAAGAAATATGTTTGAAATGATTAAAATGCATATGCACATTAAAAAAAGAATCAAAATGAACAAATAAAAGAAAAATCGATGAAAGGAAAAATAAACAAAGTAGCAGTTAATGGTATTCAAATATCTGATTTAATTACCAAGTCACATAAATAACAAATTAAACCTACTGCATGACTTCGAATTGTGAGTGAGGTATGCTCAACGAAGTTGAGGAAAATATATTTCATAGTCAGAAAAAATTTCTTAACACTTCTAAATTCAGATCTTGAATAGTGAATCACAATATGCAGAGTTTCCTATCTCTAGAAGATGCATACAATGATACAATAATAATTGAAAATTTGAATTAAAGATTGTACTGTCTCAAATTTTATTCTGGAAATATACTCCATAAAAGGGGAAATTAATCAATTTTAGGACTGATCTCACTTAAGGAATTTTCAGGAAGTTGAATTAACAGCAAAACACACTTGAGAAATTAAACTAGAATTTCAGAGCAGAACCTAACCTTTCGTTTCCTCAGCCTTTCATTTTCCTCTTCCAGACGCGAGACTTTATTCTCCAATTCATTTGTGTATGCCTGTTTGTAACATTTATGATAACATTTAGGGGTTTTACTAAGGGAAAAACTAATTAAACAAGGATTTAAATAACATAATTCTCAAAATAAAGAAAGGTAACCTGTTTCCTGGCTCTAGAACGGGCAGCAGATTCCCGATTTTTTATCATCCTTTTCTGTCTCCTCTCAACAGTTTTCTCTATCATGTCCTCAGGAGTGCTCCTTTTTCTTCCAGGTGTCTGCCCATCTGACATTGTTCCCATCAGCGGCGATGGCAATGCCACCTGACCATCTGCAAATGAAACATCCAACGAAGCACCAGCCCCCATGTGTAATGGTTGTGCTATACCCTGGCCAGGCATATAAATCCCCATTAAACCTTGTTGGGGATGCGGATATTGTGCTTGTTGATATTGTATCCACTGTCCCTGCGAAGGAAACTGTGGTATCGCCACGTTTGAATCAACCCCAATAATAGTACCAGTGTTCTTTATATTAGAAGATGCATCTGCAACAACACCTGCTTTCACCAAGAAATCCTCCAATGTCATCTCTCCCAAAGTAGGCTGTCGGTCTCGGAACTTCTTCTCCTCATTGATTTTGTTTTGTTGGATATCTCTCCAAACCTCATCTACAGTTTTCTTGCTTAGTGCTCCAGTTAATGACAGACTAGCCTGACGCTGCAGAGCAGATTGACTAGCTTGTGCTGTGCCCTCATTGTCCACACCAATGGTCTGGCTTGCCTCAACGGTCCACACATTTTTTAGAAGCTCATCAAGGTTCATACTACTTAGCGGCTTCCCCAAATCACCCAATTGATTCTGAACCTCATCAAGGGTGAGACTGTACATCGAGTTTTGCCGCACCAGAGGCCGCTGTGGGGACTGTTTTCCATTACTATCTCCACCACCACCATGAGACCCCATAGTTTGGGTCCCCATTTACCAATTATCACTGTTAAAAATCACTTCACATCTCACACTCAACTTAGCACTTCAAGACTGAAAGCAACTAATTAAAATCTTCAGTCCTGCCCCAGAAAATCAGAAACTGATAAATAATTAATGCAAGATCATCAATTTTGTAGAGTTCATCGAGAAGCTTTTAAGATCCACAATAAACTACATGCCTAACACGCATTCCAACAACTAAAGGAAACCGTCAATTGTAGGGAAGCAAGAAAAGTTCAAAACATTTTGTCAAACATGATATCATGTACATGTAGTTGGCAGAGTTGCAATTTCCTTTAAACAAAACAATTTTAAATATATAATGCAAAATTCAAACCAGTCCAAGGAGAAAAAATGAGAGATCTTGTAATTTAGCAGCAGGATACATTTCATTTCCAAACAACAAGAAATCAGTGACAGTTTTGTTAATCTGCTTTACCACTACACAGAATAAATTGAAGAAAAAAAATGAAGTCATAAAGACAAAATCAAAATGGATTCCATAAAAGAACTAAAAAGTTGAAAGGTTAAACAGAGAATAAATTCTAGGAGTAGGCAAATCAAACCTTGCGAAAATGTCAGACTAACAATTCACTCAATCACTTTTACAGGTACCCTTTTACAGACAAAATAAAAAGAACATTCCAGATTACTTTAAAAGGGTTATGAGAACATTGATCCCTTGCATGCAAGCTCAAAGACAGTTACCAAATTAAATTTCCAATAAAACCCAAAACCCCATATTCAAAACTCACAAATGCCCTTTAAAACTTTCGCATTAGAATATCGGAGCCCATTTTCCCACAAGTCTTTGACAGAGGACAGCAAAATTGAGACCCAGACAAATTCATCAAAGGAAGATCATTTCAGAAACAGAAGACAACGAAGAAAAACACCCACGATTCAAAACCAAAGTTTTTAATAAAAATCTTGGGAGAAGACCCATTTGCATGCAACCAATTCAGCATCACTACTGAACCACCATAAACAAAAGCATCCCAAAAATATCCGAAGAACAAAAGGGTGTGAGATCAAACCCACCAAAAACCCAGTATTTGTTTCTCACATGCAGTGATAAAAAATCAAATTTTGGAGAAAAAAACGTCATGGGCGAGAAAGAGTGCGCTGTAAGGAATAAAA